AATTTCTAATGAATTTCATTGATTACCTGGCAACCCGAAGTTTACTGGTACAAACAAGTGTCCATCTTTTTCTTTTAATTAGCAGCTACAATTCATGTGTGTCATTTATGTATCTGCAGGAAGACCTGGCTCCTTCCTAAAACATTGACAAGCCAGGAGCACGAGACATGGATTGCTGCAATCGGCTTAAAGGTCCTCTCTCTGTGAAGGCTACGAGTACTTTGTTCTAGCATTTTGGGAGTCTATACCATCCTGGGTGTCCTGTGCCCTAACCTTTTCTCCCAAGGTTCTTCAATAAAAGTTCATCAGCATCGTATCATCTGTGTGGAAATCAGTTTCTAGAATTGTAAACCCTAGACAAGCTAGGAGGGATCGATGTATCCAGCGGCTCCTTCGGGGGTGATCGCTACACTACATAGATGAAATAAGGCGTGACACGTTACTAGATATAAACACTGGGATGTGCGTGAAGATTTGTGCAGCCTGGCATTGGTTTTAACTGGTAGGGGTATAGAATACCTCTGTGCCCTCCTGTGTGCATAAACACACCTCCCTACATGAATATATGGAGCCTTGTGAACCCTTAAAGAGAATCCTGGGAATTTGTTAAACGTTCCCTTGCACTTGGGCTATCCCCACAAGGGTTTAGTGCTTGTTTTTGTCTAGGGCTGGGGTAGCCAAACTCCGGCCCTCCAGCTGTGGTGCAACTACAAATCCCATGAGGCATTGCAAGATTCTCACAGCCACAGACATGACTCCCGGAGAGAGATGCATCATGGGATTTGTAGTTTCACCACAGCTGGAGGGCCAGAGTTTGGCTACCCCTGGTCTAGAGGATGGAATAAAGTAGATATATTCACCTGATCCCCGGTCGTACCAAGCTGCTAGACCAGCCCCTACAGCCTCTTCTCTCTGGGCTGAGTATATCTGCTTTATTCCATCCCCCTAGAGAAAAATGAGCACTTAACCCTTGCAGTGCGGAGGCAGCTACACTGCAAGGGAAAGTTTTTCTTTTTTAAATGCACAGAGTTCTTCCTTTAAAGAAGAACTATGAGGTGAGTGCTTTTCACCAATTCAGAGATGATTTGAGGATCTACAGCCGAGTGATACACAAATAAGATACATTTTTATAATAGTTAAGGTGCTTGAATGCATTTTTAAGATTTAACTCCTGAGTTTAGTGTCACTTTAAAGATGTATTACTCACCTGATCCCCAGTCCCGCCAGGCTGTTAGACCAGTTCCCACAGTCTCTTCTTCCCTGGGCTCTGGCAGTCTTAGAACCGCTGACGTCTAATTATGTCTTATGCAGATCCAGTAACCTGAATTAGACACGAGGACGCCGAGGTACAATGTATAGCCCAGATGAAGGGCAGCCCTAGACAAAACAAACACCTATCTTTTACAGGTTGGGGGTAGCCCCACTGCGAAGGTAAGTATGTGATTTTCCCAGAGCTCTTCTTTAACATCTCTACCCCAGTGATGTGACAATGAACACCTTCAGTCATTTGACTCAAACTATGAACACATATTCAGACTTGCTCATAGCAAGGATGGTATTATGTGGCTAGCACAGGGCCGTTCCACGACATTCACACCTCCCACCCTGTTCTTGGACAATCAGCATCTGCTTTTTCATGGTGATTTGGCTCTGTCCCTGACACACCCTGGGACTGAAGAAGTGGCTTGGAGGAACTATGAAAGTCTTCAACATAACAGCACATGTCCAGCTTATGTGACTACTTCTAGGTATACCATGACCTGGATAAAACGAGGCCCTTCACAGACATGCCCTACCTATCAGGAGCCGTCCCCTGCTCTGAGGTCAGCACCCATGAGATCAGCACACATGGAGCATTCTATCAGTCTGACTCTGGGAAGGCAGACTGACACCAACAGCCACAACATTCCAGGACTATAGTCAGCCTGCCCCTTCGAGACGTCACCCGTGCCCCACCCACATCATTGTCTCCTCCCAACCAGGCGACGCCGCTGTCCTCTCAACCGAACTCGAGACGCAACCACGTCACTGTGGGCTCTGCGAATCTGCGGTTACCCCGCCTTTCGCCTCTGATTGGCTGCGGGCAGTGCTGCTGGTGACTAACGGTGGCTAGCAGGTTAGGTGCGCCAGCTATCAGACGGAGGAGAGCCCCGCCTGCACCGTCACACCGGCCGCGGCTTGGCGCAGGCTGGATCGGAGTACGCGGCGACGTGGGGGGGAGAGCCGGGGCGACAGGATGCAACCATGGCCGCGGTAATGTCTCTTCAGGCTGTGTCCGCATATGTCTGCTGGGGGAGCAAGTGACTGTCTGCTTCCGCCTACACTGTGTTGCTTCTATACGGGAGCGCTAGCCATAGGTGGGTGCAAGTCTGTAGCGACCTATGGCTCTGCGGTTGGTGTGAGAACTACGACTTCCTGTTTGACAAGGCGTGCTGAAGCTTGTGGTTCTACAACAACCATAGAGAGGCAGAGCTCACTATAGAGCGGGGCTGTTTGCTCTGTCCTGGCGGCTCTGTGTCTGAGA